TGAACCACAGGGCCACTGTCACTGCTCCAACTGTGCAGTGCACTTGTGAGAGCCTAGCAGGGCCCTACCTGAGACACTGCCAGCCGTGACACCGCCAGGCGCCACACGCCACCTCGGGGCCCAGTTGGCCAAGGATGAACAAAACTCACCCCTGCCAGGGACGCAGCAGTGGGACCCTTTGCCACCCCCTTAGCAGGGTGGGGAGGCTGGAAACCAGCGTGCCCAGTGCCCCAGCTTGCAGCTCCCCGCATGCCGGCAGCCCCGCAGCCGTGGTGCACGGCGGCATGCGGGGGAGCTCTGCCATCTCGTGGCCGTGCTGCCGCCATGCCAGGGCCATGCGGAGCTGTGGGCGCAGGCAGTGCCTCGAGAAGGGAGCTGCGTTTCTAGGGCTCCTGGCTTCCCTTTTCGCCATGCCATTCCAGCACCAACCCTGGATTCTGACCTCCTGGGGACTCCTGGCTTCGAGGGAGAGACGTGCAACCACCTGGGAAAGGCAGGAGAAAGAAGAGGAAGCTCCTTTTGGAAATAAGAGTCAATGGGGAAAAGGACACGTACAACAAAACAGGGTATAGAGGGGACAGGCAGGGTGTCACTCCCAGAGGCCATTTCCAAGAGGGCAGCACAGTATTGGCCACTGTAAACAAACTGAGCAAGAGGAATCCAGACCTCATGACTAGATACACGCACAAAGTGTGTGAGAGGATATCCTTATGTTTTTGCATGATGTTCTCATTTTGGTCACAGGTCAGGCAAGGGCCTGACCCATTATCCTCATGTTTGCGAACGTCAAGCTTAGAAAGCCTCTGTGTAGTGAGGCATCCTGAAAGATGTCCCCCAGGAGACTGTAGATTGAGTGACATTCATTCCTTATGCCAGGAACTGTCTTTCTCCTCCTTGCCGGCCTGACACAGAGCTCGCTGGAGCTGAGAGTTAACACTGGTCTCTCAGGCACTGCATCAGTAAAATACATGTGGTACTCCTCAAAGACAAAGCAGGATGAACCCTGATGATCAAGAAATGGAAATGTGGCCTTCCCTGGTCACAGGGGAGGGGACATCACTTACAAACGCTAGACCAGAAAGCTGTGAGTGTGTGGGGGGAGGCTCGTGGTACAGGAAATCTTCCACAGAGCACTCTTGTCTGAGAAGGGGTAATGCTGAGAACACTGCCTAGGGTTTTCAGGCCCTCTTGGGCACTTATCCTCTGTCACGGCCAGGTTTCAGGGCCCGGAGTGCATCCAGAGGCCCTGCCTCCACCCCAAACAGCGAGAGCGCAGCCTTGCGGGAAGGCAGTCTGGTTTTGCAAAGCAGCAGCAGGAGAGACACAGTTGGGAGCTCCCCGCAGGGCTGGGGCCTGCACTTAGGCCACCCTCGCACCTCCCTGATGAAAGGCATGTTCACCCTCTCCTGCCTTTCTTTTTTCTTTTGGGTGATTTTAGGAGTAGATTTGGGACAGCCCATCAGTAACATATCATTGATGCTCTGTGCACAGGGGTCAAGCCAGTGGTGTTCTACACTTCCCACATATTGGAATTTGGTCTTGGCTGGCACAAAGAGAAGCCCAACACTACCGTCTCCAGCATTAGGACCCAGTACAACCTTGGTCAGAGATCAGACAGAAGCAATATTCTGGGTGTGAAATTAAGAGTAACCTGCCCAGGCATTTGCTGGCATCACTAGTTACCAGGCAAACCTCCGTGCTCACAGTTCCAAGCCTGCAAAGCTTTAACTCAGCACGTGGAACAAGCTCAGGAAGATTTCTTCAGCTCAGTTCCCCTTGCTCAGCTCTGGAACTCGCTAACCAGCAGGTATTAAGTTGCAAACCCCACAAGAGCTCCAGCTCACAGCCCAGCTGCTCCCTCCTCAGCTCACATTGACTCACAACAGCACATGCAGGAACACAGCCAGGACCATGCTCCTTAAATAAACATATAACAACTAAAAAAAAACCCAAAACAACAACAACAAAAAATCTCCAAGGTGTCCTTACTCAGCTGGCATGAATCAGGCAACAATTTCTGACGAGTTAAATATATCGCCTGCAGCTGAGCACCAGCTCCCTCTCTTGCTGATCTGCCTAGATCTGTCTTAGGGGCTGTGCGGGGATATCCGAGCACTCCCTCTCATGTCCATCTTGCCCTAAAGGAGTTTCATTTCCCTGCTACGCTTCTCTGTCACGCTGGGACTTGAAATTCCCCAGGCCGCAGGGGTGACCCGGTCCAGACTTGCTCTTAGCACTCTGGGCTTGCCCTGTCATGCTCATGCGGACCATCTTGTCCTCCCGGATGCATCTGGAGATGCCACCGCGTCTCCACAGACAGTTTTTTGGCTCCGTGTTTGCTTTGTCTGGCTCTGGGTGTCAAGGACAGGGTTGTGCTTGTCACAGAGACCTTCCTGGCTGCAGGGGGTGCCCAGGACAGGGACTCCCTAGTTCTCCTCTATCTTCTGATCCTTCCAGTCCAGGCAG